GCGCTCCTCTGGTATTTTTTGCCCAATCCTGCAGAAGAGTCCTGGAGACAGAGAAGTACACAAGTCAGGGAGACCAGGGAGCTGAGATGTTCCCCACAACAGGGGTGCCCCTGGGGCTCCTGAATCCCAGGACATTCCTGCATCCCGCCATGAGGAAATGCAGGTGTCCTAGAGAGCGTGAAAATGGAAACGCGGTCTGGGGACAGGGGCTGGAGAGCAGCGGCATCTGCCACACAGCGAGGCGGAGTGGCGCGGCGTCGGCTGGGAAAGCGATCTTCGGTGACAGCCATCACCCCACGCAGTGAGCGGCTCAAGACCGAGAGCTCAACGCCAGCATTTCTCGTGGTTCCCAGCTCCCCGAGTTAGGCATCATTAGCTCCCTCACACCTTCCTTCTATCTAACCAAGGAACAACCTCTTCTGGGAGAGAGGGGAGGGACACGCACAGCCTGTACGTGGGGGACCAGGACTAGAGCCCCAGGGTGTCCTAGTCCAAAGCCTCCTCTCTCCACGGTTCTTGCTACCAATTAGGAAGGAGCCTCGTTTCGGGTAGGTAGGTGGACACTGTAGACAGACGAAACCCTAGGTAGATAAAACCGACAGCTTCTGCGAGCTTACTGGATGGCGGTGCCGCTTTCCTGGTTCCGCGTAGTCTCAAGGTCCAGAGCAGGCGGTGGTTGTCAGGGCTGTTCTGGGTAAAGACCTCGAGACAGAGAACGCCGAGGACCCCGGAGCTCGTGTGGTACTCATCATGGTGTCTTGCCAAAGGTGAGCAATTAAGGCTGTCACCATGTGGTCTCTGCAGGACCGTGATCACAGTGCAGAGTCAGTCAGGAGCAAAGACAGCATGAACTCATCTTACGGACTGAAGTAATTACCTAGGGCTCCAGGGGACATTTGTGGGGTTTTGTTGGTTTTTGGTTTTTTGTTTTTTAAGAGATTTTTGCTATAGTGCACATGTGCTTGCCAGAGCCCCAGAGAGACAGAGAGACAGAAAGCGAGAAATCACCCTCCAGGGGAGATGGCCACACTGCAATCCCTTCTCCTCCATTCTCCTCTTGGGATCTTGGGCACGCACACATACATGCACCCAGTGAGTTTCAAGCCACTGAGTCTAGGAGTGAAACCAGGGTCGACCACATGGGAGTCCAGCACTTTAACCACTACACCACCTGCTGGTCCTGGGCGCATTTGTTTTTAACTCGGTAAATATTATATTTAAGACCACACAAAGAAAACGCATCTCTCACTTCTCAGGGGCCAGTCCCAGTGTTTCCACCTCCTGTACCCAGCACACACTCTCGCTTTGCAGTACTCTGGCCTAAGAAGTTGTCATGCCTGGACATCGAATCCATCGGCTGTGTGGTTTTAGGCAATTCGTTTTTCTTCCTGGTACTTCTTTAGTTATGAATTTTCAAAACGAGGATAGTTAATTTAGGTGCCTATTGTCAAGATGAGAAAGAACATGTACAAAGCACATAGCACAGAAGTGAGTCACAAAAATGAGCAAAATCATTGCAATGGGGGGGCCAGCAGGTGGCATGGTAGGTAAAGTGCTGGACTCCCACATGGCTGACAGAGGTTTGAGTCCCAGACTTGGTAGTTCGAAAATCAAGCTGGGCACGTGTGTGTGCATGCCCAAAGTCCTGAGAGGAGAATGGAAGAGAAGGGACTACAACATGGCCATCTCCCCCGAGGGACGATTGCTCACTTTCCTTCTCTCTGTATCTCTCTGGCAAGTGCACACGACCTATGGCAAAAACCTTCAAAACCTTGCTATGGATGAAGCATTTATTGGGGGTTTTCCACATGCAAAGCATTGTTGTGAGGGAACTTCAAAATGTTGGTGGAAAAGCAAAGTTAAAGGAGGTATTTATTTTGGTGCAAAAATAACTTTTGAAATCCATGCACAGTTCCTCATAATGTGCATTTTCTGTGAACTTTTTGAAGACCCCATGAATACATCCCCACTTAAATAAGAAGCCAGTCGCTTTCCTCACTTTGCAGCTGAAGTGCAGAAGCTCGGGGAGGTTAAGGGAACCCCAAAGCGATCAGAAGCCCCAGCTCCGTGGTGGATCCAGGCTGGAGGCAGCCTGCCTGCTCTGAGCTGTTCTGCTAAACTCTGTGTGTCTCCGGAACCACACTGAGTCTCTGCCACGCCCTTCTCCCTCCAGACACCAGAGTCATGTTCGTCACCGTCTTCAGCTGCCTCTCCATCTTGCTGCTCTTCCTCTGCGTCTTCCTGATCTACAGATTCACGCAGCACGGTGAGCTGAGAGCGCTGACACGGCCGGGCAGGGGAGAGGGAGGTGCAGGTTGCCCACTCGTACGCCCCTGCTTGTATTTTCTTACAGGTTCATCCCAGGAAGAAGCCAGCCAGAGGTAGCTTCCTTTCTGTCTTCAGACGCCCCACATGCACGTCGGTGACTGGCCCTTACCCCGCCCTAAGGTCTTCAGACCTCACAAGCTCACATGTTTTTCTCTTTCTCAGAACCAGCCGCTCTGAACTTCCCAAGCAGGAGGGTGCAGGTGAGTGATAAGGAAAGATAAAAGAATCACAAGATAGAATTTCTTTTTTTTTTTTAAGAATTATTTAATTTTATTTATCATTATTATTATTTTAAAATTTGCTACAGGGCATGTGGGCTCACCAGGAGAGACACAGAGAAAGAGAGAGAGAAATTGAGAAAGCAAGCTGCCAGGTCCATGCCTCGAATCACGGTCAGCCATGTGGGAGTCCAGCACCTTAATCACCATGCCAACCAGTGGCCTGAAAACTTCTTTTTAAAAAACTTTACTTTGTTTTATTTTTTCTTAAAGAAGTATTTATTTTATTTATTATTATTATTTTAATTTTACCAGAAAGAGACAGAGAATGAGGGAAAGTGAGAAAGGAAGTCACCGGGCCCAGGAATTGAACTACAGTCAGCCATGTGGGAGTCCAGCACCTTAACCACCATGCCACCTGCTGGCTCCTTAACTTCTTTTTACATTGACACATAATAATTGTACATATTTATGGGGTGTTATGTTATGTGTCAATACATTTATGGGGGAGTCTTTAAAAAGTTTATGGAGGGGAACCTGCAGTTAGCATAATGGCTATGTCGCTGGACTCCCACGTAGTCGACCGCAGTTTGCGTCCTAGACCCAGTGGCTTAAAACTCACGCCGGGCGC